CTCTTTCCTTCAGCTAAGTAACACCCAAGCACACCCATGCTCCAAAAAATCAGGTATTAAACAAACCAGCTTTGGCCTCAATAGACCTGGAACACATCTCTCATTTCGAGGTGTTTCTGGAAGCTGTCCCCTCCACCGTTTCTAGGATGGGCACCTCTGTGCTCAAGGGAAAGATGAGCGGACAGCAGAGAAATCACAGTACTACACCAGGAATCAAACTCAGATCACACTGGCACAGTTCCTCATGAGCTCAACATCATTGACTTCAGAACACATCACTTACTTGATCTGCTCCCAGGTCTTGGTAGCCAAATGCAGGACCCAGAGATCCTTGTAATGATAGAACTGTTCCCCGTTGGGAGATGCAAACTCCCCGCCAAATACCCACAGCTGGCCACCAGCTGTGGGCACCACTGCTGCCTGCCAGGAGAAGGAAGGAAGAGCTGGATCAGACAAGGGTTCAGAAACCAGAGAACTTTATCAGTCAAATATGCAGCTGCCTCCAAATACCAGAGAGCAGACAAGTGGCAGCGGCTGCTGCTGCCCTGCTTGGCAACAGCAGCTCTCTGGAGCTGAAGGAAGGGCAATTTTAAATGCAAGTTACTTGTTGTTCAGCACACCTTCCCTATAGCAAAGGAAAGTTGGCCAAGGAGCTGGGCTCTTCCCACCTCCTAGCATCTCCAGTTCCAGTTCTACAAATTCAAAGTTCCCTGTGAAGCATCTTGAGATTTAGTTTAACAACAATTGTTCAAATGTCTCTGTTCACCAAAAGGAAACCTCTCCACAGCTAAGGCTCAGCAACATTTCACCCATCGTGTAGTCACATATAGAACATCCTGCAGAAGACATACTGCGATTAACAGTGCACAATTGCCCTTCGCAGTTTTTGTAGATTATGAAACAACAAATAGCAAAGAAGCCAAGCTGCAGCACAAGTCCAAACCTGACACTTCGCAAGACCTGAAAAGCATTACTGCTCCCTCGGAGGAAAAAAAACAAACCAAAACACCCAACCAAAAAACTCCCAAAGACAGAAGGAAACGCACAGCATTCAGACAAGAGAAGACTGTTATTGCTTTGATTAGGGCACGTAGCAGAGAGGAGAGTATCAAAGGGGGTTTTTTAATTTTTTTTTTTTTTTTTTTTTTTTTTTGCACAGAGCCACACCAAAACACTGTTGTGATGCAAGCTGACAGTTAAAAGCAGGGAGAGAAAAGCAAGACTCTAATTCACTAAAATTATCTGCATAAGGCCTAAGGAAGAAGGAAAGAATCACAAAAAGGAATCTATGTGACTGTGCAAATTTCTTCCTTGACCGGGACCTCTTGGGCTGTTTACACTATAAACAAATTCTTCCACATGTTTTTTCCAGGGTAGCCATCACAGATCAACACTGGGATAGTGATCTCTTTCTTCAGAAGGGATTCATTCCCTGCCTGTTTTTCCCAGCAAGGAAGATTTTCAGCATGAGACACATGACCATGCCCTGACATAAACCAGCCTATACATGCAACAACTAAACACATGAGAAAATATGGGGTGTGTTTGCAAGAAGGATTTGTGGGAGTGTGAAGTTACCTAAACAAAGGGGATACCCACGAAAATCAGGTATCTAGCACCTAAAAGCTCAAGAGGAAGGTATATGCAACAGCCCACTCACACTTGTGCGTGACCTTTTGAAGAGCTGGCTTGAAATTCATTAAATAGCCAAACCTTTTCCTTAAACAACTGACAACACCCATCCGTAGCTATTTTTCACCTCAGCTCTGCTGAACTGATGTAATGCAGTCAGTGTAACTCAGAGGACTGCATGTCAGAGACCAGAGGGGACAAATAAGACTGAAAACATGCACATACAAACCCACTGAGGTGCTTCTGTTTACCTTTGAGCTAATGCAGAACATGCATTAAAAATAACGTCATAAGGAAGACAACAAACCAGTCAATCAATGAGGCTGAACTTCTCTCCTGTACAACTGTAATTAATTATCAGACAGAAAACTTATTGTTGAAGCAGGACTCCTCAGATAGGTCTCATTTTATTTTTGTGGTAATCTGGTTGCAGCTCCCTGATGCACAGCCGGCCTGCTCAGTTCAGATTCAGCTGCTAGACAGCCACCTGCTGGCTACCAACACCCAAACAAGCACCTCTCAACTCCACACCCACAAAACCACCTCCTTTTCACCTAGGGAAGAAACAAGTGTTTGAATTCATGGTCTCCTTGTGGAATTTGGCCTCTGAAATCAAGTTCTATTTTATGTACCACAAGGTAGCCCAAAAATCAAGCCAGAACCTTTCAATTCAAGAAAGGACACACAGCTCAGAACAAGACTGGCATTTAGGCGTAGAGTAACAAGGGTATACAAACCTAACCAGGGTGTTGGATCTTACCAGGAAGCTCTAAAGAGCTTTGGCCATGGGCAGGAAAATAAATTCGCATCCTGTATGGCAGCTTTTGAAATGTACCAGTCACCCAGTCACTTGCTGCGACAGGTAAGATAATCTATCAGACAGCTGGCGAGGGCCAAAGACCTGCAAAAAATACAAGTCTTTGGTCCAGTTTCTAATGTGCAGGTGTTCACATAAAGTAAACAAACCTAAATCTTTCATCATCACAACCAGCCAGTGACCTTAATGACACAGAATTCTAGGGGAGTGTCACGATATCCCAGAAAAAATGTAGACAACTTTTGTCTATTGTCAAAGAAAGACAAAAGAAAACAGCTCATCTGCCAAGGAGAGGAAAATAAATAAATAAATAAATAAATAAATCACAATACACAGTCAGTGCTAGCGGTCCAGTGTGTTGTACAGTTGGGACAGTTGATAAAGTCCATCTGCTACACGCTAGCGGGGATAGCCTATGGAAACAGGTCTTTCACATTGCTGGAGTGGCAATATCTGTAGTGGTCACAGATGTAGGCCTGTGGACATTAAAGAAACAATCACGCACAGCAACTCTGCCATTCACAGCACTTTGGTCAAATTCAAAGTTACACCCTGACCAGCATTTTGAAAATTCAGTGCCATCCTGGGATTATGGATGGTTGAGCTGGTCCCTATATAATGCAGCAAAGAGTTGATCTTCCAAAGAAGAGTCTCCCTCCTAAGTCCTGCTTGAGTCCTGCCGACCCAACAGATACCACCCCAGATCTTCATTCCACACTTAACATTTCCAGAGGCCACTCAGTGATCAGGGAGGACAAGCACCCTGCACAGGCTTGTACAGGCCCCCTCAGCAGAAAAGGCAAAGTGACACCATTGGCAGCCCATTACAAGGGGAACGAAGAGAAGCCAGAAACCCTTAGGGATAAAAAAAATAATCAACTCCCATTCACCCTTAGCGCAGCTTTAGAGCAATTCCAACTGCTGCTCTGGCACCCAGTACTTTACCTGGTGAGCACATCTCCTTGGTGGTGGGTTGGGGATCTCTACTTTAGACCAGCTGTTCTTCCGGATGTTGTAAACAAACAGGTCGTTATACAGGTACGTCTGTTAGAGAGGAAGAGAAAATGCTCATCACCACAGCTCTCCACTGGACAGGGTCAGTCTGTGCAAGCACGAGCACCCCTGAGGGTTATCTGTGAGTTTGGGGGAGAAGGAGCATAGCACCGGCTTTTGTAAAGCAGCAGCTCACCTGCCTCATGAGGCAGGGAAGGAGGACAACAACCTCCTCCACTAGAGTGGGAGTCTGCAGCTTTTTCAGAGTGATCTACTGGGCTGGACTGTTCTTCCCCAAACCCTTGATTAAGCCTGTTGATAGCTAGAGATAAAAGGACTTAAGAAGCTGGAGCTTAACATGGATGTTAGTATTAAAGTTGCCCAAACTGCTGCTCAAATCCAGAGACAGGAACAGCTTAAGGTAGTGAAGCAAGCAGAATTAGTTTAGCACATCACATTGGGCAATCCTTAGTTAGGCATATATCATTGGCAGGCTTGAGTTTTCAAGCTAAGACATGTACAATTTCTTGGGGTTATAAAGACCAGTTTGTGTCCAGAAGCATCATAAACACTTGCAACTTGCAGAAATTCAGTAACAAGAACACCCACTTGCAAGTTATTTGCTACTATACACATCTTCAAGGCAGGCAATGCCTTGCCAGCAGCAAAACTGCAGAAGGAGCTTGTTTTGAAAGGCAGAGGATAGAGATACTTCAATAGTTATCAAAAATGAGGGGCAGATATGGCTACAATTAAGTCTGGAGAAATTATGAAGCCCTGAAATATTGATGCCGAGACAATCACTCTGACTCCTTAATGGATTCTAGCATGTCTCCTTCCTGCCAACTGTTCAGGCAAGAGACAGTATCATGGCAGAATTAAAAGGCTATTTTGCTCTCATTCAGGGACAAATACATATTTTATGACTGCTGCCTTGAATTTCACTTCAAATGAGACTCATGCAAATTACAGTAAAAGGCAGGAAGAGGTTACAATAAAGAAGAAAAAAATGGAAGTATACATTACTTTTTGGCCATTGAAATATTCACCTCCAAAAAGGATCAATTCGTCTTTCTCGGGGTGAGCAGAGAGGGAGCCGTTCAGCCTGCAAAACAAAGAGGGATGGTCACAACAGTAGATGTGCAAGAGTTTTGAAGCTCAGAAGCTTGCAGCCTTTAATTCAGCCAGCGCTAGCACCTCTGCCCTCTAGCCACAAAGGTCTCTCCATCATCTGCCAAATTACTAGGCTGCGATATTCACCCCAGGGCTAAAAACTTCTCAAAGAAATTAACTTCCTAAAAACTTCCAGCAAGATTAATTTGACACTGTCTGAAATCTTCTCCTATTTTAGGAGCACACGTTACACTGTCATTTAACACGCCTTTTGACGTGAGCTCTTGAATTTTAATGCTGGTGTGTCAAGAACAAAAATTAGTTTTATGGGGGCATATAACTATGGGTAGAACTGGGCTGTCTCACATCAACTTATCTGCGTCACTATTCTGCAGTCACCACTGGTCATTGCTCATCTACATACCACCAAAGTGTTTCACACCGTGCGGAGACAGATCCCTACCACTCCCAAGGATGAACTAACTGACCACTGTAACACCCCTGTGAGATTAACAGTAGTGTACTGACCTGTCCCACTACACAGAGAGGAACAGGTATCAAAGAGAAAGGCATTTATTTAACAAGCCACAGGAAACAGAAATACAGAACCTAGAAGTAGGCGCACCCCAAGCTACACTTGATAAAGTGTCTTGCATCTCGTGACACACTCTTTTGCCTCTTAAGCCCAACTCCAGAACTTCCTCTTAACTTTTGCTTTTCCTCAGAACCTTGTAATCTAACCCTGCTTTGCCTCCTTTGTGCTGATGGGATGATTAAAAAGCAGATTTTAAGGCCAAAAAAAAAGGGTTTGGTCCATTTTTTAACCAGAGATTCAATATACCAGATATTTTGTAACTCCAGATACGAGCTGTGCCAGATATGCCTTCCGCCCTTGGGAAATAACTTTCCATTAACTTTTCCATTTCATTAAAAGCACCATCAACCACTGTGTGATAGCCAAAGCCTCATACAACCTCTTACCTGGGTGAGGGGGGTGGGCAGGATGACTCAATTATTTGGGTCTTTTTAGCATCTAAACTCTGGAATTCTGCTATCAGGGCTTCAAGATCCTCCTGAAAATAAAAAGCCAGACATGAGTTCCTTGACATGCACAGAGCCACCTTCACACCACATGAAACCAGAACTCACCCTCATGACTTCCCTTTTTTTTAAAAAAAAAATTTACCTGCTTAGCTTCCTTTCATTCAACTACAAGAAATAGATGTGGAGTACTTCCACATATGCTTTAAAGATTGGTCTCCCCTAAAATACTAACAAGTTGCTCAGAGTCCCAAAAAGATGGTAGACAAAGCGCACCTGCAGATTTAGCGCACACCTGCTATTCCTGCAGGAGAAACACTGCACAAATCAGCAAGTAAATGCAAATCATTTAACTATATGCTACAATCCAGCTAGTTCTCTTCCTTGTCTGCAATGGAAAAATGCCTAAAAGGAACTGGAAACTCTTTTCTATTCCCAGCTCATACTGCAGCTGGAGAGAAACCTGCACGGATTTTTATTTCCTTTCAACTGCTGTCTATTAAAAATAAAATCTGCCTCCAAAACTGCAGATACACCGAGTTGCAAGGGCAGAAGCAGGATTGCAGCCAGGGGGAGTTTCTGATCTACGGTCTCTCCTACAACAACATTGCTCACCACCTCCCTTCAGTCAACCTTTCTGAAGGTTTGGTCAAAGCAGAGCTTTCCAAAACCTGGGGATTTTGCCTCTGCAGCGTGGCATCAGCTCTCCCTGCAGGCAGGATACACGTGCGCTGGCACCTTCCATGTCTTAGGTTTTGCTTTATGCTGGTAACCCCAAGTTTTGACCAGGGAAAAGTAGCTGGTTTGAGGCCTAAATACAAGCACCCACTTTAGGGGTGAGAAAAACAAACATTTTCATTTGCTTTTAAGACCAGAAGAAAAGCATGAGGGAGATGGAAGGCAAGAAGGACCCTTAAACTGCATTTTCTTGACCTCCTTTTACATCTTCTGTCAACACGCTGCACCCAGCTTGTCAGCAATACGGCAAAAGTCTTCCTGGCAGCAGTTTCCATTTCACCCCTTATCCTTTTTTTCTCCTTCTCCGAGGGCACTCCGCAGGCCTGGGCATGAGCACCGGTCTTCACCGGGACGGCACTCACGCTAACCCTGGAAGTTCCACCTCAAACCCCCTCCGCCTGCACCTCTTGTACCCGGCTGATGACCCCCTAAGTCTCTCAACCAAGTTACAGCCGCTTGCTCTCGGGCACACTCCTTTGCTTTCAACTTAAAACACCCCTGCCACCAACCCACGCCTCCGACCTCCCCGTGCCTCCACCTCCGGTTTTCCCTTCAGGCACCGCCGCAACGCCCCAGGGGAGGCCCAGGCCCCGCGGGCCGGGGCTACCGGAGCCCCCCGCTCCCGCCCCTCACCTCCTCCTTCTTGGCTCTGCGGGACACCTTCTTCTCCATCTTCGCGGCCGTCTTCTCGGCCCCCTTCCCCTTCTTCTCCCGCTT